TACACTGTTGCTTGGAACAATAAGAATTCTGTAAATATACATCTGCAATTCCCAAGAACTTGGCTAGACCTCGAATTGCAGAACACCATCTACCGGTCAAATATCTGACTGTGACAATTAATAGTAGTAGTAGTAGTAGACCCACACCCACTCACCACTTGACTGTTCCAAGAAAGGAGGAAATTGCCATACCTCCCGATTCCTGCTCAGCAATGGAGAATGTTAATTGCCTCCAAATGGGGATACTTCCTTCTATCTGTCTATAGTTTGGTAAGGAAAATCACATGGGTTAAGGGAACACCAGTTAACATTCACACCCCAGTTGGATGGGGGGGGCGTGTTACACACAGAAATATGCTTTTGATTGAAATCAATTGAAATTAGTGGTGGACTGATTTAACAAATATGACTCACTTTAATTCTGATATTAAAAAACTTAAGCAAACAAGGAAATGAAACCTGACACGAAGGCAACTTTAAATCAAGCATCTGTGAAAAGCTGAGTCATAAACTACTTCACACATCTTCCGTGATGTTTTGGCAAGCAGGAAGAAATCCCCTGAAATATTTCCAACGCTCACCCTGATTTGGAAGCTTCTGCTGTCTATGATAAACAACAGTAATTACACATTAATATAGCACGAACACAGGGGTGTGTGGGTTTGGCCTCATCCTTGCTAGCTGAGCAAACTTTAAAATACAGCTCGTAAAATATCTGATGCTATGAAAGCCCTGTCATCAATGGTAGCACCAAAAATCTTTCTCTGAAGTCCTCCTATCAAAGTTACAGCCTCTTTACTTATGTCTCCCAAGTTTTATGCCTAATCTTGTAGGGGTGGTTTAGTCAACACCAAGCAGGCATGTTGCTGGTGAATAGTACGATAGGAGAGTATATTTTATATAGTCGTATCTGACCTCACAAATGTTTCTTTGTATTCTGCTTTCTTTAACGTAGAATCACTATGTCTTGGTTCTGTATTCATATAATCACTAAAAGTGGAGTTCATGTGGAATATACTAGTATGCATTAGAAGGGTTTAAAAAGTCTACTGTTTTACAAAGCTGTATGAGAGTGCAACAATTTGGCTAAAGGCAAGAGTTAGCTTGAGTTTACTCCTAGAGGATGGGTGTGTGAGGTACAGATGGCTATGCTAGGATAGGGGTGATGTATATAGCCAGGGGTCATTTCATAGAAAAAGAGGTGCAGGAGCTCATTAGCATAACTCATTAGCATAACGTATTTGCATATGCCACACACCCTGACATCACCGGAAATGTGTCAGAAGGCAACACCCACTGCTCAGGCTCCACTGGACTGTTTTGGATTGCTAGCTATGGGGGGGGGGAACGTGCAGATCTGTACTCACAGAGGAGGGAGAGCTTGTACCTGAATAAAACTTGGTCTTAAAGGTGCCACTGGACTGTTTTGGACTGGGGGGGGCTCTGCAACTTACCTAGCTGCTTCTTGCTCTGACTGAGGGCTGCTGGGAGCAGGGGGTGGGGCTTGTTGCATGTGCCCGCCCTCTGGGCTCTTTACTGCCGGAGCTCCGCTCCTGTGCGTTCCTGCAGGAAATGACCCCTGTATATAGCGAGAAATTCTAGTGACTTGGCTCTAACTATGTGGTGGTTATTGGTTGAAGGATTCATGGTGTCATGAAAGCAAAATGTAGTCCTCTTTTTTACTGTCCTTGCCATACAGCTATTAAAACCATCAAGACCTGCAGGAAAATATTTATTTATTTGTTTGTTTGGCTTCTAGCCCACCCTCTCTCCCCCGCAAGCAGGCTCAGGGCAGGTTACAAGAAAACATAGATATACAATCCATTTTATAAAACTTCATAACCAGACACGAAACAACAGTAAAATAACCTCAAGAAATGACAGTCTCATCAGTAACATCAATAGATAGATACTGCAATCACACACAGTAAATAATCCACTTTCAATGCACTTTCCAACTGGATTTTACTGTGAACTGGCAAATCCAATTGGAAAGTGCATTGAAAGTGGATTGAAAGTAGATTATTTAGTATGTGTGATCACAACCATAGATAAACAATAGTGGCATCATCCAATCACTCCTGCATAAACTCCCCACATGTGTGCAGTTGGATGGTAATTGATGCTGGTGGGGCAGACAAAAGACAGTATAGATTACATATAACAAGCAATGCATAAATATATCAACAAAGAACCTGGGCTGTGGTCACACACATTAAATAATCCACTTTCAAAGCACTTTCCAACTGGATTTTGCCAGTTCACACAGTAAAAAAATCTAGTTGGAAAGTGCACTGAAAGTGGATTGAAAGTAGATTATTTAGTATGTGTGACCACAGACCCTATTTTTCAATTGCCTGACTTTTTACAATTTAGGCACAGTGTTACAGAATAAAGAAAGTTCCTTTTGAGTGAGGCAGAAATGCACCAGTGTGGTGTGGTAGTTTGAATGTTGGACTAGGATCTAGGAGACCCAGATTTAAATCCCCATTCTGCCAAGATGTTCTATTCCTTCTCTCCTTCATCAACCAAAAGGGAGGCTGCAACTAAGAAATCAGAAGGAGACTGAGACTGGGAAGGGCAGCCATGAAGGAGCTAGGCAAGATTCCTAAGGATGAGTCGCTGGAGACCAAGATCAAGATCATTCATACCATAATATTCCCCATTACTGTGTATGGGTGTGAATGTTGGACAATGAAGAAAGCTGACAGGAAGAAAGTTAATTCATCTGAAATGTGGTGGTGAAGGAGAGTTCTACAGATACCATGGACCACCAAAAAGACAAATAAGGTTATTTGGCATATAAGAAGAAGCCTTTTGGGGCTTGCATGTTCATCACCCAATGAATGTAAATATGGATACCTCTGGAAAACTTGTGTAAAACTATTCAATTCAAACTATTTTTAATTACAATTTTTAAAATTGTGGTAAGCCTATTCAATTGAAAACTATTCAATTCAAACTATTTTTAATTACAATTTTTAAAATTGTGGTAAGCCACCCTGAGCCCTGGATGCAGAAGAGGGTGGGATAAAAGTTAAATAAATAAATAAATAAGTAGATTCTAGATCAAATCAAGCCTGAACTCTCCCTAGAAGCTAAAAATACTAAACAGAAGCTATTGTACTTTGGTCACATTATGAGACAGCAAGGCCGAGTTCAGACTGGCAGTTTGAAGCGGGGGGGGGGGAGTCGTGTCAAAAAAAGAGCCGGAACAAACTGTTCTGGGTTTTCCCATTCACACTGCAGTGACTGATGCGGGAGCATATCAGGAGGCGGCCAAGGGAGCATCCACACTGTTGGCCCAGAGGCACGTCTGTAAGGCGCAGCACTCTTTTTGGCAATCTGGAGATATGTGCTTACGCGCATGAGGGCATAAGCGCATAAGAAAAACACGGCTTTTGGCATTCACACTTTGTTGGTGCGGGATGGACGCGGGAGAATTGTGATTTCCAGGGTTTGCTACCAGTTTCACCAGGTATCTCTTAAACTCGGGAGCAAAGCGTCACAAGATGGGTTGAGTATGGGTGGGGAACGCCTGGCAGATGTGCCTGTGTGAACGGCCCCTTTAATCCGGTTGTGGAACGTTTCTGAAAGGTGCCTATATCGGGGCAAACTGCCAGTCTGAACTCGGCCCAAGAGTCACTGGAAAAGACAATAAAGGGAGGAACATTTGAAGGCAGCAGGAAAAGAAGACTCAAGTGAGATGGATTGACTCAGTAAAGGAAGCCTGACAGCCCTCAGTTTGCAAGACCTGAGCAAGGCTGTTAACGATAGGACATTTTGGAAGTAATTAATTCTTAGGGTCACCATAAATTAGAAAAAGGACTTGGCAGCTCTTAACACATACACAACTGCCATGGGAGCATGCCTGATGGGTGACAGTGGGCCAGTCACTCTCACTCAGCGTAACCTACTCACAGGGTTGTTGTGTGAGGATAAAATGTAGGAGAGGAAACTGATATAAGCTACTTTGTGCCCCTATTGGGCAGAAAAGGGGGGGGTATAAGTCAAGTAAACAAAATATATACATAAAAGCAAATCAGAAATATCTCTTTGCAGGTGGGGTCCCTTGCACAGCTATCATTCTGGGATGGTATTACTTCTGGATACTGTGTATTGTTTTATATCTCATTGCTGTCCTGCTATATTCTTATATTTTGCAGCTTGCTTTTACTTTGTTAGCTGCCTCGAGTCTAAGGTGGGTTAATACTTTCAACAAACAGACATATTTTAAGATTTTAGTCCCAGAGGTTCCGAGCTGGGTTTTTTTTATCATGTGTTGAGGCTCCCTTAAGGCTAACCAGTTTAGTGTGGAAAATCCCCCCCCCCTTTTGTTTGGTTTTCCCCTGTAACTAAGTAGCACAGAAACATATTTATCTTCCACGCATTGTTGACACACATGAACGCGCTACGGGAATAACGCGAGGGAAGCAGTTTCGTGTGGAGTGACAGGTTTGCAGACACCCCATTACCCTCCCCCACTCTCAGGGCACGCCAGGAGAGCCTGTCAGTGTCACTGAGGCGAAAGAGGAAGCTCGGGTCGGGTGTAAAAGTATCGCTATGAGCAAGCCGCTTCGACTGCCGGGCCGTGTGAAAAACCGGGAGAAGGGGGGGGAGGGGCGGAAAAGAAGGCAGCCTTTTTCAGTTCCTTCAGCGCAGCGCAACCACCTTTTGCACCAGTCTCGCAAAAAATGACTCCACCGGAGGCGGGGCTTTAGGAAGGAGGAGGGAACTGTCGCCTCGTGACGCGCCTTCCTCCAACGGCAAACTCCACCACGCCTCTTAGACCACGCCTCCCAGAAGCCGAAGGAAGCCCGGGCAATAAGGAAGGCCGGCTGTGGGCGTGGCCGATGCCCGTCGTGAGGGTCCGCGGGGACCAATCGTGCGGGGAGGTGTGAGCGATAACCGGCCGGTTGCCGGGGCCGCAGCCAATGAGGAAAGCTACGGTGGGCGGGCCGTGCGCGAGTGGGTGGCTGGCTCAGGGGTTCCGTGTGGAAAGGAGCGCGAGGGGGTTCGGGTGCAAAGTTTAGTTTCAAACCGTCTGCAAAGAGCGGCGGTGCTGCCGCCTGGAATTAGATCCCAGCGCGAGAGGTGTTGCGGAGGCAGCAGGATAGCAAGCAGCGAAAGCAGCCGGAGCCGCCGGGCGAGAAGGAGCCGGAGCCTCCCCCCCACACACACACCGCGCCGTGGAGCCTCCTTGTCCTCGCCGCCTCTTGCCTCTTTCGCGGCCGCCGGTGAAGAGCGCTCCTCGCCAGGATGGGCGTGGAGGCGCCGGGGGAGCCGCCGGCCTCGGGCCGCCGTCGTCGCGAGTGCCGGCGGGTGCGCCTGATGTGCATGCTGGCGCTGACCTTCCTGTTCTTCGTGGTGGAGGTGGTGGTGAGCCGGTTGACGGCCTCGCTGGCCATGCTGTCCGACTCCTTCCACATGCTGTCGGACGTGATGGCGCTGGTGGTGGCCCTGGTGGCCGTGCGCTTCGCCCAGCGCACCCGCGCCACCAAGAAGAACACCTTCGGCTGGGTCCGGGCCGAGGTGATGGGCGCCCTGGTCAACGCCGTCTTCCTCACCGCCCTCTGCTTCACCATCCTCCTGGAGGCCATCGAGCGCTTCACCGAGCCCCATGAGATCCAGCAGCCCTTGGTGGTCATCGGCGTCGGAGCCGCGGGGCTGCTGGTCAACCTCCTGGGGCTCTGCCTCTTCCACCAGCACGGCGGCGGCGGCGGCCACGGGCACTCGCACGGCGGCGGAGGGAGCCGCCGGGGCAAGGCGGAGTCGGCGGCCGGAGACCTTCTCAAGGAGGAGACCAACACGCTGGTGGAGAAGTGCAGCAGCTCCAATGGGCTCAGCTTGGAGAAGCTAGGTGAGATCCTGAGGAGGGGTGGAGGAGGAGGAGGCCAGGAGCTAACCTTTCAGCCGAAGTGGATCTTCCTAAAAAAGAGATGCCCCGGCTGAAAGCTCCCTTGTGAGCGCCCCTTTCCAAAGCCAAATGTGACAGGGAGGGTGGGGGGGGGGAGCTGTCCTTCTGGTCTGGGCTGTTGAGGGAATGGTTCTGGTATCCCTCCTTTCATCCTGGCCAGGGATGGACTCAGCCCAGATGCTGGAAGAAAGTGTATCCGTTTATGTAGTGCTCTGATATCCTTGTCCCACTCTCATAGCAGTGTACGTGGATTCCCCTTGCCCCTTCATCCTCAAGGCAATCTTGTGAGGTACATTAGGCTGAGAGTGAGAGCCTAGAGTTACCCAGAGAGTTTCAAGACGAAATGGGGATTTGAACAACATACCGGCTCACCCCTATGAACAAATTTAATGGGAGAATATGTCAGGTTTTCCTTATACTGTGCTGTTGGTTCTTGAGAATTATTTGGCACTGGAAAAATTCTGTTTCACTGCATTTTATTGAGTCTTTGATGTGAATTTTTCCAGGGGACCCATTACTTTCTTTCCTCTCAATCCATTTTTATGGTGATCGTGAATGTCACTGTCTTGTTTTTATGTCCTAGCATGTTCTTCAAAATCTGTCTGGCAGTTCTCTGGGGAATTCCCATTCCATCCATTAGTAGGATGTGTTTTTCTTTATGTAGCCTTTGTGTATTTCCCAATAAACCCAAGCAGTCTAAGGATTTACAAAAATCCCCCACCCACCCCCAGATTGTGAAGAAGAGAAGACCACAATAGTATTCAGGTTGGCTTTTGCGTTCCAGGCAGCTCTGGTGTTCTTCAGAAGCATACTGGGGTTCTTCGGTAACAAGATCAGTATTAGTAGGCACCCTTCCCTAAAAAAAAACACAGCAACTAAAAGAACCTTGCCTACTGCTACTCATTCTCTTCCCCCTTTTAACACAGTTAAAGGATTGTTGGATGTGCTATAGGTCACATTTCCAGTTCAAGTGAGGCAACTGACACACCCAGTAGGCTTGGCCAATGTGAGCTTGCTGTGTGTCCTAGATCACACAGTAGAATCTATATGGGAGCCTTGTGGCAGGTGCTGTGGAAAGGGTGGCCTGAGTTTGAAAGCCACTGCTGCAGGACTTCTCTGCACACTATTGGTGGCAGCAGGTTCTACAGAAGGCTTGTGATGGGGCAGTGATCTTTGTAAAGAAGTCTTCATCAGTGCACCTTCCTTAATAGAGTTTTCTCTTGGAAGCAAAATAGGTAACTTCAGCCCTTGCAAACACTATAGGAATGCTTCCATGTAGCTCCTTTACAGCCACCTTTGCTTTCTGAATATAATGAACTCACACCACATTCATGCTCTTTATAGTCAAAGCCTTTGCATGACATTGGTTCTATTTGTTTGAAGCACTTCCTTTGTTAGCATGACTTCAAGTGGAACCAAGTTATACTAGAAGCCATAGGTGACAAAACTGTCACAGAGTTAGATCTGGAATACAGTACAACTTTGACTTTCTTCTGTCTATTTGAATATGTGCACTGCTGTCATTTCCCACCATTAATTCAAGGGAGGAACGCTTTTTCTGTATACTTTGAAATATTGGGGAGTCATTTGTACATCATGCTTGAGTAACTTAGGGACCTCTGGAATCATATTGAAATTGGAGCTGGATGTTATAAACATTGAGATTGTTGCTGCTCAGATTGCCTGCATTGCTTCATTCTGCTTCTGCATCCTTGCTTGACTGCTTTGTCATTAGAGCTCTTATCAGCAGGTGCTTGTGACGTTTTATAAAGGGCAAAGTTACTTGTGCAACCATCTAGATTTCTGGTCACTGCTACATAACACAATTGACTCTTTGAGAACTTGGACGAAGAACTTTTAACTTGTAATTGAGGTCAGAGTTAGGATAAAATTCAGGCTGAGATGAAGTCCTGCTATGGTAGCAAATAGAACTCTAGTCGCATTAGCTGTATGGCAGAGTCACATCTAGAACGAGATGCCCCGGCTGATTCTTCTCCCCCCAATCCAAGCTCCAGTGCCAGAGAGCCTCTAGTTCCTCCTCACACTGTTTGATCTCTGTGTTGGCAACTGGCTAGGAAACTGTTGCTTGTCAAGGACCATGTGTAGCCCTGGGGCTTCCACTTGCTAATCTGTGTAATAAAATAATCAGTGGCTGCCAGCAGCCTAGGGGGCTGTATTTCCCCTTAGCACTAAAGGAATCTGGGCCTTGACTGCTGGTTTTCAACGAGTTATGCTTCTGTTTCCTCAAAGAACTCCCAAGTATTTTGAATGTACAGGCCTGACCAGACATAGCCAAACCAAAAGCAGATTTTAGAGTATTCTAAACTCAAGATATGTGTGCTAAGGATTCACTCATGCCACATGTACCAAGAGTCTATCCCTAATGTTTCAATACATGATTTCTGTAAAAATGTGTTTCTAAAGACTATCTTTGCAAATGCTTGTTAAAATGTTTGATTTTCTTAGTTAACAAGGGAGGCACAGGGTTGGCCTGGCAGTAGTTGGTGCTGATAATTGTTAGGCCAGCGGCATAGTAACTCAAATCCTCATAGCCTGCCCATTAATTTCATAGTGCGAGGGGTTGGCTTCTCTATTGACTACCAAGACCCGAAAGCTTTGTATTCAAAGATAGTGTGCATTACGTGCCCTAATACATAGCTGTCAAAATCTTGACCTGCTGCATTTTAAAACAAAAAGCAAAAGTTATTTAAAAACAACCACATAAACTTAGCTTTTAGTTTCTACTGAAGGGTTATAAATTTGAGGATGCTACCACTGAGACTTGTTAAATTCATTACATAGGTGGAGTTTAACTTTGTGAAACAAGTGTAGGAGTCATGATGGTTTCAGGTTCTACCGGTTATATTGGTAAAACTACTGGGCAAGTAGCATATCCCTCACTCTGGATACCTGCACTAAAATATCCACAAACCAATTTGTAGTTTTCAAAAGTCTGTCTTGATGTAGAAGAAGAAATTCCTTTTTGTACAGTATTTCAATGCAAGAACAATTGTTCAGGTCATCTCAGAGTTAGCTTGCTGAGTTTGAAAATCCTCAGTATCTAGAAAAGTCATACTTCTAGATCAAAACTGGTGGCACACTTCATTTGTAAAGGAGTGTGTGATGCACATGTTCAGTAAAATGCAGTGATGGAATACTAGCCAGTTGAAATTAATACTGGTATAATAAAGACTGTGGTAATTACACTTACCTTCATATAATGTGGAGACACATGCCATACTTTACTTTCCATAGACATTCCACACTGCTTCTCTGCCATATCACTGAGATATGTGCGCATTTGTTTTTGCTAAGATCCATACACGAACATATTTTGATAATTACTTTTGCTGTTTATTGTC